ACGCTCCCAGTGGCGCGGCCTTGTGGCGCACTGGTATATAGTACCATCATGGGCTTCTATGGGCTCAAAATGTGGTCATAAATATTTTGTACTTGTAAAAAAGATTTGTGTGTGCGTAAAAAAGATTTGTATGTGTAAAAAAGATTTGTGTGTGGACTTAGAAAAAAACCCTGCAAGTTACAAGTATGGATTTTTGACCCTATTTTTCTTCCCTTCATCTGATTGGTCAATGTCATGTCAATCACAAATGTAACAATCCAATCAGAGAACAGATGGGTTTGGCTGTCGAGGGGCGCTTTCTTTGAACTGCAGGTCTTTGAAGGGAATAAATGCCCTTTTACATGCCAACCCAGCGTTTTCCTTCATCACCACGAAGGAAAACAGTCTGTGGTCGTCCGAGTTTGGTGATTTTTGTGTCACAGGTCTACGTGTTTAATACAGGGACTTCCACAGCCTTTTCAACAGCGCTGCGGACCGCGGGGTGGGGGCGGGCAGTGTTTTTGAAATGACAGTCTTCATTACAAAGCTTTCTTCGTTATGAATTAGCATACATGTTTTTATTGAACATTTGAAGAACCAGCAAAAAAAACAAACTCTTGTAGAGGACATAAAGTCAGAGATAGAAAAGACAAGGAGCAGGTGCATCTAGTACAGGTAGAGCTGCTGCAAAAACCCACAGAGCCCAGCAGCCAGCGCAACAAATTCTGGATCCTTTGCTTTTAGTTAGCAGTTAGCATTAGCAGCACATCCTGCGTCCGATGTGAAAGGACTTTTATGCTGCGCACTGTGACTCACAGCAATGGTCCTGGGTCAGCCCTGACTTTGTGTTAAACTAATCCTAAAGTAATGATGTATTTCTAACCACTGATATAGAGCTGGGCGATATATCGAGTTTTTAAAAAATATCGATATATTTTTATACGAGATATAAGATGTGACAATATCGTTTATATCGATATAGTCTATGTTACGTTATAATTATACTTGTGGAGCCGCAGGTTTGCCTCTCTTTCGTCCACTTTCGTCTTTACGCAACGTTACTCGGCCTCGCCCCTCCTTCACTGAACACAACTCCCCCTCCTCCCCCATCGCTTCACCTGCAGGAAGCGACAAGATGGACACGGCAAATCCGTTAACGAGTTACTGCGCATCGCCCCGTGCGTGGGGCTGGACGGCGTCAACGTGTTAGCTAGCTAACCACGCTAACGAGCTAACCACGCTAACGAGCTAACCACGCTAACGCCATGCAGCCCAGAGGTGCTGCACGGACCAAAATCCTTTCATTTTCTCAAAAGTTGACAGCGCGCCTTATGTATGAATTCTGGTTGTGCTTGGTGGCCGCGAACCGATTTTATGTGGAACACGGCGCTCAGCAATCTGTCAAAAAATGTTTGAGTACGACTTTGGTAAGCTACGGAGCTGCACCGCTTGATGGATTGTCGGAGCATTACGGCTGAGCCTCGCGGAGTGATACGTACTGTGCTTCAACGTAATATTACCTTACTGTGTATAAGGACCAAAAATGGCACCTGTAAGAGACGTGGTTGCGAAGCGGATTTCAAACTCCAGGTTGTCAGTCACGCAGTACAAGTTGGGAACAGAGCAGCTGTGAAATCTGTCCTTGTTATAGTGCTCGTCTTTTAGTTTACATTTTGACTGCACAATTGTGAGCTCTTTGTTTAGCACAAAAACAACATTGTTTTCTTTTATTTATGGAGCATTATTATTTAATAAATGCTCATAATTTATTTTTGAGTAAATTTTATGTACATCTGCTCTATGTTAATAAAAGTGCCTGTGTGACATCTGGGACACAGCTTTGACTAAGAACTCTCTTTTTGTTCTTACTTTATGGCTTTAAAAAAAATATATCGAGATATATATCTTATATCGCCATCCAGCTAAAAAATATCGAGATATGAATTTTGGGTCATATCGCCCAGCCCTACACTGATATACCACAACTTTTTCCTTTCAACAGCTACTGAAAGTTAGGGGACCTAGCTGCTATCGGATATTTATATAGCGATCCTCCAGCTTCAAACGGTATCACCCTTCAAGGACCTGCAGTTCAAAACAGCGCCCCTCCGACAGCCAAACCCATCTGTTCTCTGATTGGATTGTTACATTTGTGATTGACATGACATTGACCAATCAGATGACGGGAAGAAAAATAGGGTCAAAAATCCGTACTTGTAACTTGCAGGGGTTTTTTTTCTAAGTCCACACACAAATCTTTTTTACAAGTACAAATCTTTTTTACGCATAAAAATCTTTTTTACGCACACACAAATTCTTTTTACACATACAAATATTTTTTACGCACACACAAATCTTTTTTACAAGTACAAAATATTTATGACCACATTTTGAGCCTATAGGCTTCAGAAACAGTTAAACCCAAAGCGACTCCAGGTTAAGTTAACCGTGAGGTTGATCTGTCTATAGGTCCGATGGCTCGTAGAAAATCACATAAAGTAGGGTTAAATGGATATCTCATACTCGATAGAGCAACAGATTTCATTTTCAGACGCATAAAACTGCAAATGCATGAGATTTGTTTGCTCGTGTAGCTTTCTCTGAAGTTCTCTTCAGTAATAATGTCCTGGCATCATTGTATAAGACACTTGGACTGATCTGAAAGTATCTCTGAGACTCTTCCCAAAGACAGCAGTGCGGTGGTTACATGCAGGGCTGGATCTAACCTTTCTGATACCCCAGGCTAACTCATGATTTGGTACCCCCAACCTCCTTACATATTCATTTTTACCACCACAAGTTTTTGAGAAAATTGTCCCTTTTAGGTATGTAAATGGCCCGAAGGAAATGTACAGGATAGATGGATTCCCATTTTTGGCAAACAGGTTAAAACCCCATTTTTGTAATTCAGAGGGCAAAAGTTTGTTGGACAATTTAAAGCAGGGGCGGCCAACTCCAGGCCTCGAGGGCCGGTGTCCTGCAGGTTTCCCCAGTCTTATAAAATGTCCTGTTTATAAGATTTGGGGAAACCTGCAGTCAGCTGAGACTGAAGAAGTCACTTGGAGTGACGAAACGTTTCTCCCACAAAACGCTACGTCCAGATGAACAGAATCAACTTTTGCACAACAACATTTAGCTACGTGGAGCATAAATTAGCTAAGGTGAACACAAACACGTATGTTCAGCATCTGGTAAACAGCTGCGAGTGACCAAAGGTCATAAAACAAAAAAGATAAGTAGCCAGTGCATTAGCAGTGATCATAATTTCATCCTACAAACAAATATTTAATCCAAGATTAAATATCGAAGCTACAGTATTAGTTTATATATATTTTGACTATAATTCAATACAGTTGCAGTTCTAATATCACAAATGTGTTCATGGACATAATATTGTTAAGGAAAAAATACTGAGGGAGGCAGCTGTTCCATTACATCGTTTTTATTGAGTTGCTGGCTTCATACAGCCGCACTGTTCATCTAACCATCACACTGTTTGTGGAAATGGAGCCATTTTCCAGCTGATTGTGTGGCTGGTTTGGTAATAATCAGCATCATCAACAATATGACATGGAAAAACACGCATTACATGCACACCTTGTACCCCTCTGTTTGCACAAGATCATCTAAGATGCCTTGCTTTTATTGACTTTGTGTAATATTTCAGTCTTGATATTGTAGTCAATTGGGAAAAATGACATTGGCTTTGAGAAAGAAAAAGAAGCCCTCAGTGGTTACAGCCATGACTAATGGTTGGATCTTGGCTACAGCTCTGAGGTTACATATGTGGCAAAATAAGAAGCTTCTGGCCCAGCTTTCCTCAGCGTAAGTGTTTTCGTGCCTCCATTTGGATCTATTTTAAAACTTCAGACAACATCATCCTTTGCTAATAATTTATCAGACATTAGACTTTAGAGTCATAGTTTCCGGTATGTTGGCGATGGTGTTTGGCTCTGCCGCTGCCGGGTGCAGTTTGTCGCGCTCTACTACTGTTGTGTTGTTTTTTCTGCTCTACTGTTCTCACTCAGTTTTAATGATGTATTTGCTGCTCTGGTGTATGATCGCCTGGCAAAGCCAGGCTATTTACCATGACGCCACACGATGTCTCGTCGTCCTCTGGCATTTTCCACCCTCCTCCATTAGCTGGATCCTCGTCAGGCGATTTCAGTGGTCCCTCTAGAGCATAGGTTTCAAACTCTGGCCCGCGGGGCAAATTTGGCCCGCAGCCTAATTATATTTGGCCCACAAAGCCATACCAAATTACTATTAGAGCTGGCCTACTGGTATTATACAGCTAATATATATATTGTGTAGTATTAAGCTTTGCTTGTTCCATATTCAGTTTTCCGGCAAAACGTGTTTGAGTCCATAAGAAAAGATTCATTCTTATATCTTGACCTTGACCTTGATCTGGAGGAAGATTTTTTTTTCAATAAATATTAACGTTAGCCTGCGACTTTGTTCCAGTTTTGAATTTTGGCCCACTGTGTATTTGAGTTTGACACCCCTGCTCTAGACCACAGAGAAGGAGAGGGAGAAGAGGAGGTATTCAGGTAAAGCTCGGGCTTTACTGGCGGCGTGGTTTGGCTGGTAAGCGACGTTGAGCGTGCGTTGTCTCCTGCGTCCAGAAAAGCTCCATGGAGGGCGACTTGTTTTCCACGGCCTTGTTTGGATGAGCTGGGCCTGGCTCTCTGAGACCGTGCCACCTCAGGAGGGTTTATCCAGACTCTTCTGCGGGCTGGCTTTTTCTTCCCTCGGTGAGTGGACTCTATGAGCGTGACGGCTCGAACCCTGTGTATTTACGTCCCTTAACTCGAGCCTCTGCAAATAATGAGGCTTCTAGCTCACTGAATATGGCGCATTTTAACGCTCGATCTCTCTCTAATAAATCATTCTTGTTGAATGATTTTATATTATCTAAAAAACTGGATTTTTTACTCCTGACTGAGACCTGGCAGCGGGATGTAGACTACTCGTCACTTATTGAACTCTGCCTGGATGGCTGTACTTTTATTACCCGG